TGTAACATGATTGGGTACATGGTGGAGTCCCTGTTAATACCAAAATATTTGTTGATATTTTACATAAGAGTTCTATTATGTTTCGATGTATAACATTGAACAAAATGAATGTTTTGACATCCAGTTAAAAATATTATAATATACCTTACGTCGACACATGCTAGAAAATCTCGAAAATTTGATTTTTAATTTTTTTGGGATTTTTCTAGGCAACTGAAAAATTTCAACAAAGACTTAGCCTTTTTGCATCGGTATCAAATATATAGCAACCAAGAGATGGAAAAGAAATAGTTGAATTACAAATAGTCTGGCAAGTTCCAACAATGATGATGACAAATTCAAGTGGTCATATTGCTACGTGTTAAAGGTTTTCTATCCCATGACTTGGATGGCTTCTAGATAACTAAGAAACCTTGACCTTAGGTAAAACCTTTCATCAGATGAACTACTACAAGAAAGAAGATAAATTCGACCGAAGACCTTAGAGGCTGTTACAAGACAGCTCGACTGGGAAGTAGTATATCTTATAAGAAAAAATTAGGTGTTATGATGACAGTGTGACTATGTGTGACATGGGTTGGTGGTTAGGACTTGAGAGAAGACTTTATTCATTCCTACTTACATGCTAAACATTTTCACACTTGGTGTAGAAAGTTGACTTCTTTTGTTGCTTAGTTTTTAATGAATTATTTATGCATACGTGATAATTCTTTATTTGCTAATGGAGAATCACAAGCGATTCTTTACACATACATACAATATTAGAGAGAGAAATCAAACTAATAACTTTAAGCGCAAAATAAACGATTTTAACCAAGTGAGCTGTAATTGTCTGCCCACAACTCTGGCAGGGGCTGACCGGAGCTCTCAATAATGTCTGTACGCATGCGAGAGTACATGCATAGTGTGAACACAGCCATGTGGCAGGATGCTTCCTCTGTCAATTTAACGAAGACTTTTGCGTATTTGACCTAATGAAACCTTGGATTGGAAGCAAAGCCAACTGTATGCGTAACTAAACAGAAAACATAAAATTATTGCCTGATCTTCATCTTAGCATAATTAATTGATTCCCAATCAACGTGGACATATAAATAAAATGTCATTAAGCCTGATTAGTTTGACCAGTTATGCTTTAACATGTTATATACTCGATTAATACTTCGTATATTAAAGCGTCATACGTTTTAACTTAAGCATTGTGTAAATTTTTCTTAAGAATACGCATGAATATAAAAACAGCAAAACCCTGTAGAGTAGGTTAATCAAGCAGGATGGGCAACTGAAGTTTTTTCCTTGTGTGGGGGCTCGCGGAGTGTGTCCCAGACCAGATGTAATATGTCCCCGTCCTTTTTCTACGTTTTTTAATATCTGATTTGTTTTAGTCTGTTATTAAATTACAATTTGCCACAAACTAGCTACTACATCTCAAATATCCAAAGTTTTCGTTACTGAACCTACTCATTCGAGTGTCACCAATGAAAATTGAAAACCCAAGGTATTAGGGTTTTGATTGGACAAGTCATTTGTCAAAAGCCTGCACTAATGCATGAGCCAATCCTACTTCACCATTGTAAAAGATAAAAAAAAATGCTAATATACGCAACGTAGTAACATTTTCGCTGTAGTCGGTTTCTCATTAATACGAGTCTTTTATATACGGCTCACATGCACCGTGACATCCTTTGTGTTTTGTTTGACTTGATGAATAATATTGAATCAATTTGGTTTGACTGAATTATACCTTAATTAATCCACTTCAAAAATTATAAATTGAAGGAATATATATGTACGTACCATTGATTCCTTCACGTGTACAACAAGAAATGGAGAATGGTCCCGGTTCAATTTTGGGACCAAGGTCAGTGGTAGGTCAAAAATGGAGATTCCGTGTGCAAATGAGCTAAATGTGAGTACAACGTATGGATCGAACAATAATTGGAAATAGAGTCGTAGATGTTTCGAATTAGACTGTATGTTGTAACAAGTTTCGTGAATATCTGTCAGTTCAATATTATCCAAATTAGAGCTCTTACATTTTTCACATCTCCAACACAATATATATTACATGCATAGTAGTGCTCAAACGTTAATTCCTTACTTGATTTGTCAGTTCACAATGTAATCTCATGATCTGAGGACCTAAAAATGGAAGTTCATAACATGGATCACATTTTTTTAGTAGTCAAACGAGTGATGAATGTTGTATTATCTTACTAATTGGTTAACGTTTTATGGTTATTAATTACATGATGCCATGTATAGTAGTTGTGATGATCATATGATAAAAGACATATAGTTAATGGTTCACTTGGATTGGATGAGCAAAGCCCCAATTATAGATTCCAACTTACTGATACAATTTTATCTTCAAAAGCGAGTCACGTGTTGATCACGTGCCAGTATTTGATGACAAAATAAATGAAACATCTAATCTGATAGTGATAGGTTAATTTGCTAATTTCAAATAGTTCCAGGATTAATTTATCATAAAAATAATTCGAATATCAACTTCAATTTGAATAATAGTTCTGGAAATCAAACGATACTTCCAAGTTAATGGTGAAATTGTATTTTACTAATATACAGTGGAAGATGACCAAAATACATCACAATATTTGTCCATTCACCCATCAACAGCGCAGTAAAAAAGGAGCATGACATCTGCAAAATTTATATTAGATGCTTCCTCCATCAACTTTCTCAGTGACCTCATTAACTTTATAAACATTTTATTATGTAAAGTGTAAACCACAAAAGCGAAAGAGAGAGGAGAGGCTTTCATCTCAGTGGTCCATGGCTTGCTCTTGGCCCTCCATTTAGTCAATAAAATGACCCACTGCTTTTGCTTTAATTAAGTAACTTTCATTAACTAAATTAATCTTAATATTAGTACTTTAATTGCAACAATGTGCTCATAATTTCGTGGCTTTGCCATAATGTACTTTAATAAAATGATGATTAGTAGGAAGTAGTAGAACAACCATGCAATATTTTTCAACAAATCAGATGCCAACATGTTTAATTTAATATATTAGTTGAAATGACTTCTTGTAATTTGGCATATTAGGTGGGAAAAGGCGAAAGCTAGCTAGGAAACTTCGTCTTGTCCAAATATGGGAACCAGAAAATCAATAAGTTTTTATAGGCAACGAAAATAGAAATTACATAGTGTATCATTTTATTTGTTAAAAGAAAATTGTATTTTTTAGTTGCAGCACATGATTTTTTGTTACTCTCAAACATTTGCGAGAGGGGAAAGCAGTTGCTGACAAATTAGCAATTTTGAACTTCTCTCGTTTTCTCTTGTTTGACATGATGCTTCTTCTATAAAGATTCATTTAGATTTGTTGGTCATATCGAATTACAGGTTTATCTCATCTTCTTAATGTGTGATTTCTTTTTTATCTAATCATTTTGGATTTTTCTTTTTGTTTTGTTGCTTAACTTTCAGTTAACCTTTTAGGTTTTATTTTAGAGATGTTTGATCCTATGTCTCCCCCTCTTTTACTTGTATTTTCTTTTTCAAGAGGAGTAAAGTTTATGTCCGTTCTCTTTTTTGGTATTTTCATTTTTAAGAAAAGTAAGGTTTATGTTCATCCTCGTTTTCTGGTTTCTTTTGCTAACTTTTTCGTCTTTTCATACCAATAAAATTCCCTCAAAGGTTCTTCCAAAAAATAATAATTTACTTATTGTAAAAGTAAACGATATGATTCGTATGTGATACTTTTAAGTTATATTAATAAAATAATAAAATAGACTTGATATAATTTGAGTAAAGTAAATAAGAACGACATGTGATGATATTTTGAATAAACCAAAAAATTGTTGATTGAAATCAAATCAGTTTGTCACAACTAAAAGTAGCTTAATAATTTAACCCCAAAAAGTAGCTAAAGTAAATGTTTTTTTGTGTGTAGAAGATAAGGATCATGAGCAAGCAGTGCTACCAGTAGTGTTGATAATTAGATAATTAATTGAAGTTAAATCCTCCTAACTTCTTTGATTAGTGGCCATGACGTCGAGGGTTCAATCATACTCACAAGTTAATGTTGGAACATCCCTAACATATACAAATATTCTTTTAGATTCCGCAAATCAAACGCATTTGTTTGTAATTTGCCAGCAAATTTTATCCATCCAGCGGAAAACATTTTACCAATTAACTCGTGTTCTAATCATGCTTGTCAATTATTTGTTCATTATCTTTGATTTATTTATTTTTATCATTTAGCCTCCCACGTTTTGTTTGTTTCTGCCATCAACTTAAGAACATTGGCCATAGTCAACGATCATGGTCATCTACTCATGGTGCCTCTCTAAACTAGAGTGCTTCAGAAGTGAGCTGAGAAGAGGGGAAGAAGTGGTGGAAGTTTTTTTTTTTTTACTATTTAATATATTTTTGACATGTTTACTTTAGAATGAAAATTGAAATTATGCCGATTCTTAAATTTTAAATGTTTGCTAAATATTGGTGTTGGAATTGTTATGATTCATGATTTTTCATGTCACATGTTTAATAGTGAAAAACATAATGTGAGTTTTATATCCAACATCTTAAAAATAAGGATCTGATCAATTACAAAAGGCTTGTTAATCCCATAGCGATTCTTTTTTTTTTTTTTTCTTTTTCATTTTCTTATTCGAAAATTATGGTAACAAGTAGCTCATGGTTAATTATCAATTTATTTATTTATTTATTTGATGACTAAACAGTCTCCAAATCAAGTGAATTTTTTTTTTGACAAGGTCTTTAGATGATAAAGATAATGATTAATTTTGATTATAACATTTATGCAATAAAATATTGTCACATTATTACTAATCCATTATAAGGTTTAGCCTAATCTCTCATCGCTTTTGTATAATAGTATCACTTGTTTAAAAGAAAAAAAAAATGGCAATGTCCCTTATTTCAACAAAAAAAATATGAGTTTCAAGTAAAACATGGGCCTTATGAAAATGATTTGAGTCCACCACAAATTGGGCTACACACTAGGCCCAACATACTTAGTTCACGGAAACAGAAGTTTTACACTCTAGTAGCACGCAGACAAGACAGAAGGAAGAATACGAAGAAGAATCAACACTGACACTGCAGAATAAGAGAGGCGGTGCAATTTTTTTAGCAGCCAAACGCCGCCGTCAGCCACCAGGTACTTGTCCTCCATTGATGTACACAGTTACGTATAGAAGTTCAGCTGTTAATTATGCTTAATTCACTCTGCTAATTACATTATTTTACAGTAATCATTTCGATATGCTGCTACGGTTTCTTTTCTAAATTGGTCCCCTTTCAGAACTTGGTATTTAGGGTTTTACATTTCCAATCCAAAAGTCAGCATCTTTATTGTTAAATATAGATTGTTAATATATTGTGGATTGGGATGGATGCAAAGTCTGAAATTGTGACTGACTGCTCTGCAAGCTGCTTGTTCAATTCGCAATTTGGCAACCATTTTCTGTTTCAAGTTACGACGTCGCGAGCACGAGTGGGTGGGTGCTGAATTTGATGGTTTGTTAAATATCTGTTTCTCTGTTTTTATCAGTAGCCATGAAGGTGCGTTCATCTGTGAAGAAGATGTGTGAGTTTTGTAAGACTGTGAAGCGTCGTGGGCGTGTTTTTGTGATTTGCACGGCCAATCCCAAGCATAAGCAAAGACAGGGCATGTCGACATTGGCGTATGAAGGCACGGTGTCCTCCGTGTAAGCTCCCTTCATGCATTCATTTCTCTTCTTTTTTTTTTAGCATTTGTATGTTTAATTTGACAATTTTTTTCTATTGCGCCTAGTTTAAGGGACAAGTCTTATATAGAATCTCGAATGTTAAGCACCCATATTATAAGAAAGAGCAATACTTGTTTGTCGAATTTGGTGTCTCTCGCGCTCAATCCAAATCTTCCATAAAGCTGCGTTACCCTTGCCTATTGTAAACTTGTACATATTTCATTCTTTCGTTGGGTAGTTTAACAAAGTGATTCTTGGCTTGGCATAGACACACATTTAAGCACACAAAAAGAAGCTTCCTAATTCCCTACTATATGCCGGCAATTTTTATGGAGTGAAGGATTTAGGTTACTGCCCTCTCTAATTTTTGCTCGTGAGCTGGTAATTTCCATCTTTTACACCATTTTATCTAGCTTGAATGCGCCGTGTCTAGTCTTTCATGTGAGCTTATCTATAATGATAATTTTTATTGATAGGAAAATACCTATTGATTTGAATTTTTCATTGTTCTGATCAAATATTAACAGAGATATGTGCAAGGATTTTATACATTTCAGAACATGTTACTAGTTGCCGTAGAATTCTGTTATGTTGGGTGGTTTTTGTTTCCCGCTTCTCGTTTTATTCTCTCTGTTACAGTAAAGTATCAATTTACTAAAGAAATCTGATGTGACAATGGATGGATTTCCGAATTTTCCAGTTGAATGTTTGCATCATTTTCAGGTTTGCGGAGACTAGTTCCAAGCTGGAGAACAACTCTGGTCGCACCTTGCAGGCAGGTTTGGCCTCTCTGATACCCAAAAAGCCAGAACCCTTTATGCCCTCTATGCCCACTACGATTCTCGGATGGAGGGTGCGCCTGGCATCCATGCTGTCCAGAAACACCAATTAGCTTCAAAACTTGAAACAGGACGACAGCAAACTTGATCCAAGTTTTTAGGTTCTTTTCTTTGGTTATGTCATACATATTCAAATTGTTATAAGCTATTCTATTTTCTCTTCGATTTTATCGTTTAGTCTGATACTGCATAATTTAGTCCGTGTCTCCCTCGCTTTCTGGTATGTGTAAACTTGCCGTGCAAGAGATTTTAATGGCAGCGACCTTCACCTGCTCGATTTGTATAATTCCGGAATGCGATGCCTTGAGTTGTAAAGGACGCCTTTTTCGGAATCAGACGGTATGAAAGTGAGACAGTTTGGAATCTGTATGTTGCTAGTTTTCGTATGTCATTTCAAAAGATCATATGGAACCAAAATTTTCCTACTTAAAGTTCAAGATAATGAAAAAAAAAAATTGTAACTTTAGAAATGATGCAGGCAGGTCTACCAGCTCCCGTTCTTAATTCATATCCAAAAGGCAGAGGCCCCTCTATATGTTTCTTATTTGACAAAAATCAAAAGCTAAAATAGCCAATTATGCATGTTTCTATAATACTCGCACACCTAAACGCAACGCTCTAAATAATGCATCACAACAATTATTATTAAGGCGTTTAATATTGTTCAACAACCAAAAAGAAGCAGACGTTGATCCGGGCAGTTGGTTAGGGTAGCGTGTCTGCACGTTCAAGATCAATTCATTCTCACGTTTGTGATTGCGACCGTGTTAGGAATGGGACCTAATTGTTCGACATCCCTTCGTTACAAGCTGGTTTTACCTATGTATTCTTAACAATTAGTATTTGAGCCTAATTTTACCATGCAGTAAGATTCAAGCTTCACAGAAGGAAACCTACGGATTAAAATGATCAACGTTAATGATGCGTGGGTTTATCGAGTCATTGAATGTTGGTAGACAAGTGGCAAAGTCGATAGAGTGGTCCGACGAGGAAGTTGAGTACGAAAGCGTGGTGAAATGTCTTAACATTCCGTCTCCTTGCATTCAAGTTCGATTAATCTCCCGTTAAATAACTCAAAACGACGTCGTCTCTCGTCCCACCAGTCGACAACAGCGCACACGGTTATCAGAACAAAACAAGTGGGAAGAAAGAAACCGCATCGCCCAGCAACGTATTTAATTAATTAATTTCACTTTTTCAAAAAAAACCTTGATCCAAAAGCTACCAATCGAAAACAACTGGTTCCCCCACTTCTTTTTCACGTGGAATTTCCCTCTCACTTTCTCACCAATTCGATTCCCAATCTTCCCTGTAAATCCGGAAACCCTAACCCTCCAAATTCTCATCAATTCTTTCGCGGATGAAAACCGATTGCTAGCCTTTGAATTTTCCCGGCAAAGCTCCAGACTCAGGGACTCAATGGCGGCGACGCTCAACACCTCCATGGCGGCCTGGATCCGCCACTTACTCGCTTGCATGGGGTAAGTCTTCGCTTACACTTCGCGGGAAATTATCTGCCATTTTTGGTAGTTATTTGCATTTGGGTTTCTGTTAGTTTTGGAAGGTTTGACTTGTTAACCAAAATCTGTTATTTTTGGAAGATTTGACTTGTTTCTGACTTGGTTGTAGACTTGTAGTAAAGATTTTGACTTTCTAAGTGTGGAAATAAGTTTCGGATTGAAAATATGTCAAGTAACAAATTTATCATCTGGGTTCTGAAAATTTGGGACTTTATTGCAAGCTTAGATTAAAAAGTAGTTCAAAAACAAGAAATTTATGATACGGATTTCGAAAATTTGAAGAATTTTTGGTAACATTGGCATGCTCATCTGGTGTATTGAGTAATTTTACCTCAAGAGTTGTGCACCTAAATTTGTATTAAAAAATCGATGGTGTGTAGTTTGTGTTTTGGTGGAGTTTATTCTGCAGTGTGCTTTAACCTGGGTTTTAACAGAGCAGTGGTTGTTTTGGATGCTGCACTAAACCCACACCAATTACTGCTGTTGATGAGCCTTCGAAGGGATTGAGAATTCAAGGGCGAAGTGTTAAGAAACCGGGCATCTCGGATGACTTTTGGAGCAGCAGTACTTATGATTTGGACAATAGTGCCGTTCAATCCCAGAGAAGCATCTCATCCATCAGCACATCCAACCAGACCCTCAACTTTGGCAGTGTGGCTGGTAGTAGCACAAGCAGCCAATCCGACTTTGTAAATAATGGCAAGTTTTTGTTGTATGTTATTTACAGCATTCTTATTTTGGTCTGGTAATTGTGCGTAAGTATTTCGCAGCTTGTCATATTGAATTAATACCAACAAAACAGGATCTGTGTCGTAATACATAAACTCAAACTGTGTTTGATAATACTTAGTAGTCAAAGACATTTCTGATTTTTTTATGTTTCTTTTTGGCAAATATATGCTTGTAAATACCTTTGGTGCTAACATGTTTGGCCCTAACTGAGATGCTAATAATTTTCTTCTAAACGTAGAGGCCTGGCTAAGAGAGAAACGGTGCTTGAGAAAAACTGGGAAGCAATGTGAATAGAATTGGGATGAGATGTTTCACGAGGGGAAATCTTTTTTATAGTTAAGTTACAAATTCATTAACTGGTGAAACAAAGGTTTCACAAATGAATGTTGACACAACCAATTATCTTCACATAAACCTTGGCTTTAACATGTGTGTTAGGTCATGTAAATTTTAGAATTTGCGAAGTATGTTTTTATTATATGTGAAGTATAGTTGTTCTTCTACATCTTGTGTCTGTATATAACCTTACGCTTGATGGCTATGCTATGTATTATCTACTTATGGTGCTGGAACTTCTTTTCACCAACCTTCACTCTAATTTGGTATAATCAGTATTCATGCCCTTGTGAGCTTTCATGTTTGTAAGTGTATAGGTTATTGACTTGCAACATTTCGTAACTACAGGTCTTGTTCTATGGAACCAGAACAGGCTTGAGTGGATCGGAAGTGGCAACCCTAGGAATCAAATTCCAAAAACTCGGGAAACCAGAGTAAGGTATGTTACTTGTGCTTTTATAACTTAGGTTGTGACTGCACTCTGAGTCGGGGTCCATTAGTTTTGAGTAATGTAAGTGCATCCACTGCTTTAAATCAAAGTAATGACCTTTGTTGTTTAACTAGTTTGCTGAAGCTACTCTTTTTATTTCTCTTTAACTATATCATTTATCCCTTTTAGCTTAATACTTTTGATAGGATTTTTAGGTACCTGCGCAAAGAGGTTAAAATCACTTTAAAATATTTGCAAGAGTACAAGGTTATCATAGTATAGTAGCTCAAGCAAGGTTGTTTTCCGCAGGGATTATTTAAAACAATTTATGAAAAACCCTAATCTTAGTTAATTATTTGCAAACAAAGATTGGAAAATGTTGATTTTGAATTTAAAAGTAATAAAAACGAATTTTAATAAAAGTAATTTAAGAAAAACAACTAGTAACCAATTAAGAATAAATCAAATAAAAAAGAAAAGGTTTTGAGAAATAAATTTGGAAAAGCACTAGGGTTCAGCCGTCACCTTAACAATCCTACGTAATTCTTCCAATTACTTATAAATTACCCGTGCATATTTTGAATGTTAGGTTTTCTATATTCTACTTGGAACCTCCAACATAGAACGTGTATCTAACATGCAACCCGTCTGGACGTTCGGATCAAATATGAACATGAAAGACTCATTAAGTTTTATGAAAACCCTTTGAAAAACCATGCAACCCTTAAAACGTGGTGTTCATCTTAAGTGAAATTACAATTATTAATCACAAGAAGCCAGCGCCAATTTCAAGGAACCTTCCAACCAAAATTGCATCAAATTACTTTCTAAATGTCCTAATGGTCTCGAATCACTAAGACACTTAGATAGTTTAAAACAGTAATTAATAATTCAAAATATGCATGCATAATATCATAAGTAAATTGAAAAAAAACTACATATTCTTGCTAAGGCTCGAGGCTTCGCCCTAGCACAAGAACTTAGTTATGAACAATCATAATAAAAACTAAAGAAAATATATTAACTAGGAAAAGGATTGAAAACACCTTGTAGGTAAAAAGTCTGAAGTTCTCCAAAATAATGCTAAATTCTCTCAATGTTGCATCCCCCCAGAACCCTAATGGCTAAAAAGCCTTATTTATACTACTCCAAATCAAAACCCTCATAGAAAAGGTTTTTTAAAAACTAGGAAATAAAATAACGAAAGGATAACTAGAAATTACATTCCTATTCTGACTAGGAAATCTGCCCATCAAAAAGATAGCCACGTTTCTGGACCTTCAGGGCTCTAAAACAGGCCTAAAACGACTCAAATTAATGATTAGGACATCCTCTTCAAGTTCCAAGAAGAGTCCAAGTCCAAAATCCATCATCTTCCAGCCCAAAAGTCGCAAATAAGCTCTGCAGCCCAATCTGCCAGCACTGTGCGCTGGGCATAAATTAATTCGCCACGGTCAGATGCTTCAGGATAAAATTATGAAATTTTGACACAACCTTCTTGACAGATTCACGAACCCGCTTCAATTGGAATCACTCAAAAATTCCACCGTTTGATTACTTTATGCTCGAAACAAGTTCGCATGTCCTACATTAAAAACAAATAGCAAAGCATCAAAATCTCACCAAAATAATAACCAAAATATACCAAGAATAGGGAATAATATATAATATAAAATCGATTCATCAACTTTTACCATATTTGCTGGTGAATTAAAGGATCTCATGAATGGCGGAAATCCCGTAAGCAGGTGTATCTAGTAGACATATTTTATTTAACTATATTTTGCATTTTAATTTGCCTTGATCTTTCTCCCAGTGGTCGACTAACTATGTCCTTTGCAGTTGGAATGCAACTTATGAAAGATTGGTTGGAACCAAACAGAGACAGTCGCCTTATGCGCAACGCATTCCTTTGTCTGTAAGTCTTCGTTTTCCTTTGGTGGGAATTCTGCTTGATTTTTTGTATTGCATTATGTTAGTTCATCATCCTGTTGTAATGCTTATTGGGTTGGTATTAACAGGACATGGTAGAATTTCTCGTGGAAGTATGGGAGCAGGAGGGTCTGTACGATTGAGTGAATACCAGAATCCGCCTTTTAACGTGAGGAAGATACTTTTGTCTTTGTAAATCTGAGAGGTGTGTCTAGATGGACGGGGCAAAGAAGGAATTCGATACAACGACCACATGTTTCAAGTTTAGCTGTAATATTTTCATCCTTTCTGCTCCCTTTTGTAACCATGTAATTGTGGAAAATGTCGTCTGCCACGCATAACTGAATACAGAAGCAGCAGTTAGCTTTTGCTTGTGTGAATACAAAAGTTAAAAAAGAGGGTTTCAAAATATACACCTAGATTCATGGTGATCTTTGTGTCCATAATGTTTCTTTTCTTTCCTTTTCCCAAATGTGTATCCATTTTCTTTCAGGAGGTGATTTTCACACTATTTTTCTCCCCCTATGCACCGCCATTTATTTTCGGCTATTAGATTGAACGAGTCAAATAGGTAAATGAATAGGGGTGTGGAGAGATGGAGCGTGTGAAAATTGTTTCGCTTCTTTTTTCCGTGCGTTTCTATTTCTAGGTGGAAAAGCAACACTTGCTCTTTTTCTTCCTATCGTTCTTGACAATCTTGTTAGGTCTGTATTAAAGTTAACTATGACCTCACAGCCGGTTGGACGTTTTTGGAAGCCAAAACTCTTTGATGCATGTATATTAGGAAACTTCGTTGCTTTGCTGGCTTTGTTTTCCATGTCGTTATTCATGGAATTTCAATGGCTTGGTGTTGATGTAGATGCCGAAAACAATATGAGATAGACTTTGCTTCCGTCTGAGCTTTTTCCACGTGTTTGTCGATAAGCCGTGACTTCTTGAAATTCTAGAATCGAGATCTTTGGTTGCTGGATCTACGTTGACATGGATGTTGGAAACAATATAAGATGGGGAGTGATATTCACACACTCATTTTTACTTTCTCCACACTGTTGTTAATTTGTGCCCATTTATCTTCTTCAATTCATTCAATTTGATGGCCGGAAGTTAAGATGATGTGTGAAAAGTAAAAATAGGTATGTGAATAGTAACATCCTATAAAATCGAAAATTCTAAATTAGTTATGGACCAAGATATTCAAGGTTGTTGAATCCTTAGTCAAGGATTCATCGACTAAAGATCTAACGGTCATAGCCCTCAGTTCATGTCATGGGCCGGACTCCGTATGTATTAGACTTAAATGGGATCGTGTTGATTTAGATCCCTACGAGTGTCGTAACCACTCCCAGTGCCTCACCAAGATGTGAGTCGCCCACACCGACGCCTCGTAGACTTCGAAGAAGGATACTTTCGACATGAGTTAGCCTCATATACTCAATTACATGTCTATAAATCCGTTTCGACCAAACAGTATTATAAATAAATAAACCTTGTTCTTTATGGTTAGATAAACACCAGTGGCAAAGCCACGTGAGGGCGATGAGTGGTGGCTGCCACTCTCCTCGTTGGAAAACAGGACTGGAGCTATGGGTCAGCCCCTCCCCCTGCCGAAAAACTCACTGGTTCAGCTCCCCCTGCGGTTCGTTGTTCTCTACGCGCAGCATACTGCATTTTCTATTTTTTAAACATCCAGGCCAAACTGGTAAAATAAAATTGAAACAGCACCGTTTGTACATTTTGAAATAAAAAAATATATATATATATATTGGGGGGATCGCGTGTCCCCCTTTCACTCTCAGAGGCAAATTGTCTGCCCTCCTGTTTGGGTGTCTTTCCCATCCCCTCCTATTTGTGCGGTCACGGTTAAACCACGTCAACATTTTATATTCCTATTGTTTTTTGTCTTATTATCTCTATAAAAAAAATCAATATAAAATGTTGACGTGGCTTAACCGTGACCGCACAAAATAGGAGGGGATGGGAAGGGCATCCAAACAGGAGGGCAAACAATCTGCCTCCTTCACTCTCAATCCCTCTCAGACTCTCAGTGCTGCCGTGTCCCTCCCCTTTTTGTTTTTTCAACCTTTCTACTAGAGAGCACAGCAAAGCGGCCCCCCAAATTCCCAGCAGCAACAGAAGAAATATTTTTTAATTGGAATTGAATTTTCAACCTTGAGAGATGCTGATTTTGGGGACTTGCTTGATGATGTACAAAAGTTTTGTGAAGAGCATGATATTGTCGTTCCTAACATGGAGGATTTGCATTTCGTACCTAGAAAATCAAGGAGTAAAGCTCCAAGACTCACAAACTTCCATTACTATCGTGTGTACCTCTATTTTCAAGTCCTTGATACGCAATTAAAGGAATTGAATGATCATTTCAATGAGGTAAACACCGAGTTGCTTCTTTGTATGGCATGTTTGAGTCCCGTGAATAATTTTGCATCTTTTGACAAAGCAAAAATTGTTCGTCTACCCCAACTTTATCCTCAAGATCTTGATCATATGGACCTCATGAATCTTCCAATTCAACTTGATAATTACATTCACGATATGAAGATGCATAGTGAGTTTTCATCATTGAGAGGAATTGGTGATCTTGCAAAGGAGTTGGTGAAGACCGGGAGGTGTGCAAGCTATATGTTAGTGTATAAGCTTCTTACATTGGCTTTGGTGTTACCGGTTGCAACCGCTTAGGTGGAGAGAGCTTTTTCTGCTATGAAGATTGTGAAAACACTATTGCTTAACAACATGGGAGATCAATGGTTGAGTGATAGCATGCTTGTTTACATTGAGAGTGATGTATTTGCTTTTATTGATAATGAGCCTATTATGCGACATTTTCATGATATGAAACCTCGCCAGCAACAATTGCAATTTGTTTGTATTGATAAATTATGGAAGACATTACTATATAAAAGGATTTGGTTGTTGCTATTTTTTTAAACCTTGCAATCTTTTAACTTCGCCCCTCCCTCCGTCAATTCCTGGCTTCGCCACCAATAAACACATTAACTTTACTAGGTTCGATGCTCAACTTTACTAAGTTCGATACTCCTAACAGGTGAATCTACTTAACTGTGACCATGGGCAGAGTGAAACTTCCCATAGCCTCTCCGAATCCAAAAATAGTGAATAATTATGACTTGTCACCAATTGTCCACTTTCTAAAAAAATTAAAAAAAAAAAAAAGGTTAACTTCTTACATGTGGGGTTAATGTCTGTCAAAAGGGAAGAAGCATCTGCATATTACCGATTCAGTGAAACTTGTTCCAAGTGGTCGGTTTGCTGTTTGCTAAATCATGAATATATTATCTAATTTGGCATCCGGGCCTCCGCACAACAGCTGACGAATGCCCTATTGAATATTCAAGAGTTAATAATATGAATGCAAAGAACTACTTCACCAAAATGTGAACTGAATATATATTTGAATCATAGATTACGTGCATTTTCTATGAACAAACCAGAAGAGAAGACAGAGCACTGAAGAGTAAATATTAATTTGCATTTTTATTCAGATATAAATTTCATGAGGTCAGTCACTGCCATTAGTGCCAAATACATTCGTATACAAATAAAAGCTTGCATGGATTGCATGATGCATGCTGCCAAATTAAGCTGCCATTACGGAACCTCACCCGACCTCTCTTTGCCCCCTTCACCCACCAAAGGGTGGGCATGAACAATTTTTTAATATCTAAGTGACTAAGAACCATTGAATCAAGTCTAACAATCAAATATGTTTCAGCACTGTATCTTATATAATGCCTAAAGTTATACTTACCCACAGACGGGCGGGCAACTAAAGAAAACACCAAGTTGCAACTTATAATTTGATTCCATGTTTCTGACTTTATGGCACCCCCTTCCACTTGGTTCTGAGTGAGGGAGAAAGTCTTGCTTTTTTGAAAAGTAAGCCCTACAAAACATATCAAATTCCCAATGGGTTCACATACATTTTTTTATCTTTTTTCATCCCTTCAACTACTCCTATAAAAGGAGGAACAAACAATAGGATCAAGTTGAATTATATAAATATATCCCTCGTACAATGCATGTATAAAGACAATGCCAAAAAGGCTACCACTTCAAATATCTTGAATATCCATATTAAACGTACGTAGCATATATTTCATAGTATTTTGATGACTATTTATGTTAGTATTTCCAAGTCATAAAAGTCCGCATGGATTATGGCAAAGACTTGGTAATAAAAGAGAAGAGATCATTTCCAGATCTTTTCCACTAAGGCTATCAGATCAAGTGATCTGGATCTTTGAAATTTTATTCAACGGTCACAAATTATTATAACTTTTAAGGGGTTAAAATAGGTAGACCGTTAGATGAAATTTCAAAAGTTTGGATCACTTAATCCGATAACCGTGGTAGAAGAGATCCGGAATAAAAGGAAAAAAATTAATTAAGACGAAAATTGTCAAAGATGAAGACTTTAGAATACCAAGATCACTGAACATATATTCCATATCGTCAACCAACAAATCCCTTAGACTGGATCATGTCCGCTTTCTTGACAAAATTCTCAGTCTTAAAATATGAATATTAATTTTTATAATATTGATACCAGGAAATTGGGATGAAGATATACCACGGGTTAAACATAATTAGTTATCAAACTCATCACTTTTAAGAGTTCATTTGGAAGTGTTTTTAAAATGACTGGAATTGCTTTTACACAAAATGTTTATAGGTTCCAAAAGCACTTAAAGAACATGAAGCACTTCAAGTATTTTTTCAGAATTCACTTGCATTTTCATTAAAGATTAGTTTCAAAATCATTTTTACAAAAAATATTTTTATTCATTTTGAAAGCAGTTTCAAACGAACCATAAGAAACAAACATGAATTTAACTTATCAAAAAAGAAAAATATTAAAAGTGGACTAAATTGAGACATTCTAAGGTGCATGAATCGTGTGCCTACCTTTACCTTTCTCAACCTTTTTCATTAGAGAATTTGTGGGCAAGCTAAGTGGATGAGATAATTCCCGAAACTTTTTATATTAATGTAAAACATCTTTGATTAGTAGAAATTTGTGCACGATTAGGGTTTATTAGCTGGCGATGGCATGCTGTGCATGGTTGTCTCTGCAGGGTATTGAGAGCGGCGCCTGGTATACCATTACCAACGCTGACCTAGGGTTTTACAGCCTTTTGCCTCGTTGGGTCAAGACGGCAAGTTGGGAACCATGAGTACGTACGTAAACAACTAGTCCTAATCGAATCTGATTACAATGCGCCAAGTTGATCAAAAAATTTAAACCCAAACTTTTTGAAAAAAAAAATAAAATAAAATTCATTCTCTTTTTTTTCTTCCTAGGAGATTAGAGATGGTACGGGTACGTAACAAAAGATTGAAACAGAATTGGACCGGATACAAATCACAGACATTCTAAGAAAAACCAAGCGTGCAT